CAAAATACAGAATACATCCAAGTCAGTTCAATCACTTCAAAGACTTAGAAACTAAATATCACTTTAAATTTCTTTGCAAGGTTGTTTAGTGGTACATACACAGTCCTCTATAAACTGGGTGTTTCTTGATACAGTCTTTGCTAGTGAAATGAAACTGACAGATGTTTCAGAGCAAAGTGTGTTACAGATGTTCTTGTATTGTTTAGGGTTGTTGTGGTTGGTTTGGGATTTTTTGTCTCTGTTCTTATGAGACTTCTAAAAGTAGATAATAAGGCACTTCTGTTTAGACAAGTTTAGTTCTTTCTGAGCACGCTCTTCTGTAGCTGAAGAAACCTAATTGTCCTGCAATCTCGGTGATTGTTCATTATTTATATTATTTGAATGCTTAAGACTTGCAACCAGATGAGGACCTCATTATAATGACACAAAGTTTTATTATTTATGTTTTGCCCAAAAACTTCAGTTAAAATTAATGAGAGGGATAAAAAATGGAAAATCACAGAAATTTTAGAAGCAGAATTCCCCAAAATTTTCACGAGACTGACAGTAAACCGAAACTCCTCCAAGTGGGTGGAGGCTACCTTGGGTCTGCTGGCCATGCTATAAGACAAGATACACGGCTTTGGCATTTTCCAATTTTCTATCTCTCTGCACTTTCCAGATAGAAACAGAAAGCTTTATTCCTTTTGAATGAGGAAAGCTTGTACCTGAGAGCTGTTGGAGGTACTGCATTCATTTTCCCGTCTCTTGGGTCTCTGTATGCTTGATGAGGACATTCCAAGACCTGTTTCTTTCAGTCTCCTTAAGTACTAAGAGCACCTGAAAGAAGCTTAGTCCATGTATTTACACTTGAACTAAGGAGTAAATGGCTGCGGAGGAGCTCAGTACTGCTCTCACTGCCTAATGAGTCTTTACAAAGACACTGTCTTGCTGAGAGGTGCCAGACCCTTAGAAGTGGCTTCATGTCCTGGATAGTTACAAATGAGAAAAACACATCACTGACCTTTCCCTGAAATCGAAGGAAATATTCAGGATAGATAAAAAATTAATTTCAACCATTTTAGCACTGGACACTAAAAAATGTAAGTGTGGACAGAGCCTGAGGCAATATCTCCTTTTATAAGCAGAATGTAATATCCTAAAGCTCTTGAGAAAATCTGCATCCCACAAACATGAATCAGCACTGACGAAGACACTTGAATCACAGCAGAAGCAGGTGAGTAATCTTGCCTTCCACCATCTTGCATTGCTAATGCCTCTGGCATTGGAACTGGGCAGGAAAGGACACCCCAGGGTCATGAAGGAAAAAGGCAGTGACTTGAAGATTCTGGTGAGGATGACATTGGGCAAAGGCCATGTGCTATTTACCCCTGATCTAAAGGAACAGTGGAACAGTGACAGTTTCTAAGGAAGAGTTTCACCAGGTGAGAGCAGGTACCTGTGAGAACAGGCACCTTGGATCTGAACTTTATGAGCCTGGAGGAGGTGATCTATTGGAAAGGCTGCACTTGTCCATGTCTGTTCATGTAGCATCCCAGGCAAAACAATCCTGAGGTGGGGGATTTCCACCCTTGGACACCAACCTCTGCCTTCCTTTTGAAGAGAGAAACCCAAAGCCAGTTTAAATGTACACACACTTTAGAATTCCATCCTCACCACTGGGGGGGGATTATTAGGCAATGCAATTAGTGCTCATCTGTACTTTTTTCTACTGCGTCATCTCTTCTCAGAGAACCCCAGTCTTGTGTTCACTATTTTTAATTTCCTTGATAAGTGTAATACACAAGAACTTTTTCCAGGTTTTCATTTTTTAATGAGAGATACCACATTCCCCAGAATTTCACAGGGAGGTGAAATGTAAGAGAAAGCATATAAAGCACACCTGTCTGTATAAAGCCACTCATATGGAGGGCTCTTGTGTGCTAGTGTGGGACTAAGAGTAGGCTGACTTCATCCCAGCTTTCACATTTTGTATGTCTGTCTTGTCCAATCTTACTTTTTTTCATATTTCTCTACAATAAGACATTTTTCAATAATTATGTGTTATTGATCAAACCAAGCTTATATCTCAACTGCCTTAAAAAATGCAATCCTATACTGGAATTTAAAAACAATAATAATGATCTTTCTGCTAGTTTTATTTTGAGCTTCATCCAATTTAACTTCACCATGGCTCCTTACAGTTTTATTTCAGAGATGTTTGCTCAATCAATTAATTCAGGGCTTTTGCAGTTTCAGAGTAAGATTCTGACTGATCATCAGTGTACTTCAGTATAATGTGGCTGCCATGTTCTGCAAGATGTATAATGAATAGTACATGTAATTGTAAAGAGTAGAGATGATTAAAAATAATAAGGGAAAATAACAAAATACATGAAAGAAACAAGTAGAGGCTTAATAAAATAATGACAGTGGATACTTAAAATGATTTACTTAATGATTTATATAAATTGATGTAAATAGATATTTTATCTTTTCACTATTTTCAGTTATAATTTTTGATTGTAAAATTGATTATTTTTTGTTTCCCAATTCAACATCATATGAATAACACAAAATAGTGATCTGCACTAGAAAAACTTGGTGGCTTCAACCCCTCATGTCCTCCTCAGGATGGCAGATGTTATCTGGCCAGGTTATGTGACCCACTAGTTAACAGGGACAGATCTCCTTCAGAAGGTGATTCAGAGCATGACTTTAGCTGAGGTGAACTGTGTTTGTCCTCAAATTTGCTTTTCTTTTGTGCAAATCCCTACTTCCATCTACTCTTGTTGTTAGACAGTTGGTAACCCAGTGAGTTTGCATTACAGTACTCAAGCTTGCACAAAGAATGATTGCTCCTAGTAAATAAAATGCTCATTTGCCCGGGTTTTCTCACAGTGATCATTGCATCTAATTTTATTGCTTTGCTGGTGAAAACCATAACATAGGACCTTTCCCTTTGTAAATGAATTATTAGCCAGCAGGAGAAATCAGTTGTGCACTGCTCAGTATCACTCAGTTCCTCAAATAAAGCCCCAAATTCTGAGCTACAGAAATGTTTCTACTTATATTTTAAATGAATATGTTTGAGCATGTGTGTGAATAGTTTTTGTGTTTGTTGGGGTTTTTTTTCCTTTTGCAGACATATTTCATGGTAAGGCTCACTCCACAGACACATTTCTCTCTCTTACATATGTCTCATGCTTTCACTCTTACTGGAAGCACTGAGGAGTGCCAAAATTCAGGTCAAACTCTTGTAAGGAGGAAATTAATTCATAAATGTCACTATGTCTATGTAGGATATTGTGATTCAAGAAAATTTCAGCTCTGGAAAGTCAACATCTAACATAATTTCATCCTTCATTGAGAAGCTTGCCACATGATGAAACTACAAGGAAGAATGACACACAGAGAAATTAACAGCATTATATTTAGTAACAGAAAAGTTATAGAATGTGAAATTTTTTATATGACTGAAGGACTATTATATTCTGGAAGAGACCATTCCTTTTCTTACCAACTAGAAAAATTCTTTCTGTTGCTTATTCCTACCATGCAATAAAACCCCGTGCATGCTTCATAAGTCTGAAGTGTCAACCAGTTGCTCATAAAAAAATGCCTTTTTCATGGCAATGGCATTACAGGTATGACTGTAAAGATATTGTTTATGAGATGCCATCCTTGTTAGTCTCAGGTTTCTTAGGATTTTGGGTGGGTTGTGAGGGTTTTTTTTTGGGAGGTGGTTAGTGGGGCTGGGTTTGGCGTGGGGTTGTTGATTTTGGTATTGTTGGGGCTTTTGATTTGTTTTTCATTTTGTGTGGTTTTTTTCTGGAGGGGTCAGCTTCTTAACTTGGGCACAGATGTGGGACCTGAGCAGATGGTGACAGTTGAGAAGGAAGTCCTGGTATTCTGTGATGATAGAGTTTGTGTAGTGTTTTGGCAGCTACTGCCACCCTATGGTTTTCCATAATGGATGAATGCTGCAGAGCTTTAATGTGTTGCATTTCTCCAGAAACCTCTTATCGGTCAGAGAGAAGACAAAGGATATTCCTTTTGTCTAACTCACTCCTTCTCTATGTCCCCTTTACAGAAAAATCCCATCTGCAAAGAAAATCAAGTACAGCATGAGAGGCCATAGGTGGCATTAGGATGGTAGAATCTTTTCTACTGCATTTACAACTATGTAATTGAATATTAATTTTGGTTCCAAGGGTTTTCACTAACTGATTATATCTGCTTTGGCAGGATAGATTTTACTCTTTTTTTTTAGGAACTTCAAAATGTACATCTGGAGAAAGCTTCCAAAACCCATTTCTTAAAGTTACTGCTGCTTTGGGAGCCTGTGTTTACATCATGGATGCCACATATAGACAGATCTGGGTTAAAGCAATCTGGTCTAAGCAGTGTGTCCTCAGAGCATAGCTTCCAGCAGAGCCCTGCCCTCCAGACACCAGCAAGTGCCCAGCCACAGGCTCTGATGCGGAAGGAGGACGTTTCAGACACCATTATTCCACTCATTGCCCTCCTTCAGGCCAGGGAATACCCTCTGCGTGGAGGAAGACTTTTTTATTCTTTTGAGGAAGCGGAAAGAGGGATCACCTCTCATGTTGTATATCGTCTCTTTGGGACTGGAAGCTTCTTTCCCTTTTACCAACCCGGCTGAAACCAGGCAGCAGTGTAGGCTGTAGAAAATAACTCAGCTGGCTTGGAGGCAGGGATATTGGACTCTCTCATATATTGTAAGTGCACAGGCATTGGTTTCCCTCATATATTACTGGGGACTCTCAAGTTCCATCCCCTCTGCCACACCCAACCTCACACCTATGCAGAGCACGAATTCTGAAGTGCACCCACTGCTCTTTATCGTTCTTAGCCGACATGGGAACTGGATGTCCTCTCCTTAAGCCGTATCCCCAAGCCCACTGCCGGCCGGCTCAAGAGCCGGCTCTGGGGCTCCCCGAAATCGGGGCACTCGCTCCCAGCCGCAGCCGCAGTGTCGGCAGCCCGCGGCATCCCTGCCGGCCCGCCGGGTTCTGCGGGCGCTCCGCGACCCTCGTGGGGCTGGGCAGCTCTCCAAAGCCACCTGTAGCTACGGCTCTTTTCCCCGCATTTCTCCGAAAAAGAGCTCTTCTCAGCCCCGCTCCCTTGACCCCGTGCTTTACTTGAGTGAACCAAATGTCCATGTATCAGGAGCGGAGGTGGTGCCTTTTGGGAAAGATACAAGACTGGTGTTCGCTGTCGCCCCTGTGCGCCGCGCCGGCGGGCAGTGCGGGACCGGAGGGGTGTGTAGGGCCGGCTCGGCCGTCCTGCCCCCGCCCCGGGGCGGAGCTGCCGCCCCAAATGAGGTGCGATTTCACCTTTGGGCTCGTTTTCCCGGAGCGCCACTGGAATTACGGCCGTCCCGGTCCCCGCTCATGTCTCTGCGCTCCGCCGGTGGTCCCCGCTCCCAGCCCCGACGTGGAACGGCCGCATTCCCCCTGTAAAATGCGGGCAGCGGGATCTCCGCGCGGGCGGCGGGAGCCCCTGTTACGCCTGTCGGAGTTGAGCACGGAGGGAGGTGAAACAGCCACCTGAACGCGGAGAAACACCCGAACCCACAACAAGTAGTCTCGCCTGGCAGAAGCCGCTGTCGCTGCTCCGGCAAAGGTAGCGGCGGGGCGGCGGGAGGAGCGCGGGGCTGGCGGGGAGCGGGAGGCTGATGCCACCTGCCCTTCCCCGAGATGCGCGCTCGCCTTCGTGATTTGTCTGAGAAAGTAGCGAGCCGAGCTCCACACAGACAGCTTTTCCTAGAGTATGCCTGCTGCCTGCGCTGGTGGGGTGCTCTGTATTTCTTCCCAAAAAGCAACCCTTTCCTCCCTCCCACGGTGGGGGTGGGGAGGAAGAGAAAAATATCTAAGCCTTCTTTTTTCCCCCTGGTTAAGCTGTTAGGACAATAAAAGATAGATGCCCATTAAATAATTAACCGTACACTTTCTGTTCCATCAGCTCGGTTCACACAGCCCCGCGAGGGAGAAGGGGGTGGGGACGGTGGCGGATCCATAGGCGGTCGAAGCAGCAGCAGTGCCATTTCGGTAGCCTGCTTGCAGGGGAAGCGGGAGGCAGCCCGGAGCGGGCAGGCGGCACAGCCCTTCGCGGTGGAGCGAGCGGAGCTGGCCGGCGGTGGGTGTCGGGCCGGGCCGGGAGGGCTCTCCCGGAGTGCGAGTCCGCGGGAGATCTTGGGAGGGGTCTGGGACAGGCCGTGACCGCGGGGAACGGTCCTCCTACGGTGGTGCTTGTGGGGCTTGTCCTCGATTTCTTCTGTTTGCGTTTAAGGCAGAGGCTCGTTCCCCACGGACCTGCCGGCGACCGGCTGCCCCCCGCTCAGCGACCGGCGCGCCCCCCTCCCGATCCGCGCCGCCGCCTCCCGCGCTCTCCCCAGTCATGTCCCACCCGGAGCGATGGGGAAGCTCGAGGACAACGAGAGGGTGATCCTCAACGTGGGGGGCACGCGGCACGAGACCTACCGCAGCACCCTGAAGACCCTGCCGGGGACCCGCCTGGCCCTGCTCGCCTGCGAGTCCCAGAGCGAGTCCCCGGGCGGCGAGGAGCCGCCGCCGCCCCCCAACCCGCCGCTGCCTCCGGCGGGCGGCTGCCCGGAGCCCGGCAGCGGCTGCAGCCCCCGGGGCAGCGGCGGCGCCAGCGAGTTTTTCTTCGACCGGCACCCGGGGGTCTTCGCTTATGTGCTCAACTACTACCGCACCGGCAAGCTGCACTGCCCCGCCGACGTCTGCGGGCCTCTCTTCGAGGAGGAGCTGGCCTTCTGGGGCATCGACGAGACCGACGTGGAGCCCTGCTGCTGGATGACCTACCGCCAGCACCGCGACGCCGAGGAGGCCCTCGACATCTTCGAGGCACCCGACCTGCTGACAGGCGAGCCGCCCCTCGACGGCGACGACGACGACTTGGCCGCCAAGAGATTGGGCATCGAGGACGTGGGGGCGGCCGCCGAGGGCAAGGGCGGGCGCTGGCGGCGGCTGCAGCCCCGCGTGTGGGCGCTCTTCGAGGACCCCTACTCGTCCCGCGCCGCCAGGGTAAGCGCCGCCGGCCGGAGCTCCCAGCGGGCGCTGGGGAGGCCGCGGGGCTGCTGGGGCCCCCGAGCGGGCGCCGGCATGGCGGGGAGGCTGCCCCGCTCCGGGTGTGCCTGCAGAAGGGATGCTTTGGTGGGCCGCTGCAAGGGACACATCGGCCCGCGTGGGGTGGTGATGCTTGAACCCGGTACAACTGCAGGCAGTATCAGGCAGCACGGGGGTCCCGCTGTGCCAGCATACCTCCCATGGAGTGTGCGGGGCTGAGGTGGGAGCTGTGCCCCGAGAAGCCTCAAAGGGAGCCCAGAGTCACCCCCTGGCCTGTGTGGGGTGTGGAGGGGGTGACTCACTCACTGGGGGAACTGTTTGTGTGTGGGTGTGAGCAGGAGCAGCCCCAAGGCACCCTCATCCTCCCTGAGCGCTTGCGTGAACGTACCTTTGGGGCCGGGGCAGGTGGCCTGAGGTCTCGGGTTTGGGGTCAGGTGGTGACAGTGACACCGGAGAGCGACCTCAGTCCGTTCTGAGCTTTGCTCTGTCTGCACTGGTAGGTGATCCTGGTTCAACAAAGTAAATGTGACAGGGGGTCACCCTGGCTCTTCCTCCATTGATTTCTCAGGGTGACCCTGGCTGGCTCAGTGACTGAGGGACTAGGGACAGGAGAGTAAGTGATCATACTGACTTTCTTTTACTTAGATAGGGGTTTTAGGTTTTTATGCTCACTACTTCATATTCTGATGAGTTGGATTTTAGTTCTGTCTTGTCATTGCAGTTGTCAGGGGTGATGAGGGTTTGCTTTCTAACTCGGGGCTTTGGAGCAAACAAATGGTTGTAATTCCTTTGAGAGGAATATGCAGTGGTGTCTCTAATTTAACCAGAACAGCAACCACCAGGAAATCTTCCCTCCAATACAAGACGAAGGACTTGTAACAGGAAATGCTTGATTATAAAATGGCAATAAGTATTTTGTGGCGTATTTATCAGGATTTCTATGAAGTATTCAGAGCTAAACCTCATTTTGCAGAAAGTGCAGTTATGGTGGGTGTAATCTCCTAATCAGCTCCACTTATTCTGCTGGCAGTCTCATAGATGTGCACTTAAGTTTGTGGTTTAGTGACTTCTGGAATTGTACCCCGTGGCATGATGCAGTTTCTGCCCGCTCACCCTGTGAGCTTATTGAGGTAAGTTAAACTGAAAGTAAACTTATTACTGTCACTTACTGAGTGCCAACGTTGTTTATATTTTTGACGGTTGCCTACCAGTTTGTTTTCCCTCAACAGCTGGCTCCAGTTGATTCTTAAAGTATGTTTTTAATAAAGAATGGGTTCTGAAGAAAAGTTACCAGAAGTGTCTATCTTTGCTCCTAAATGCATACCCACATCTCACATCTCAGCTGTCGGAATCTTAAAGAAAATGTGGCTGTCAGTTACCTGACAGACTGTAGTGTGAGCAGTGATTGCCCTGCAGGTTTTCTTTCACCTACTGTCCTGTGGAAAGTTGCTGACAGTGTCAAAACTGCAGCTTTTGTGACAGAGAATCTTCCTGCTCAACTTTTCTGGAGAACTGAGGAGTACGGAGTAAGTGTTAAATGGAAGATACCAGGAGAAGTAGGAAGGTAGGCATGCCGTTGTGCCTTGGAGTTGTAGTTGGCTTTTCAGTCCAGTCTTTGACAGAAGCTGTAAGCACTTGCTTTCCACATTTTCCATCTGTACTAGGTCATCCTGAACCATTAGTGGCTTGGGTGAAGATATTTCAAGTTTGCAAAATGAATACTATAATTAACACTATAGTAGGAAATTGCAGCACTGCAGTATTAATCTCTTAGAAGACAAGAGTATTTACCTTTTTATAACTTAACTGGTTTTAAAGATTTTATTGTGATTTCAAACCCAGGCAGCCAGAATAAGGCAGTGTCAGAGCCCTAACAACAGTGTCTAAATCTGCAATTTCATTTTCTGAAGATCTGTACTTTATCTTTCAGGTAGGAAGACAATTTTGAGAATTTCTGGTGAGTTTTAAAGCATTAAAGTGAATTTGTATTTAAGGACTCGCATGCACTTAGTAAGCACTCTTGAACACAGTAATTTAAGGTGATGGTAACCTTAGTTTGGAATGAGACATTATGTTTTTCCACACCTGAAACGAGAGCCCTTATTTTCCAGTATTCTGGCAAATACACTCATGTTTTATGTCAGCTGAGATGATGACTAACTCTGAAAACATTTGAGTGAAATCCTGGGCTTTCTGAAATCAAGACAAAACTCTGTGAACATCAGTCTTTGCCTCACAGTGTTAGTTACTGACTCATACACCACTGAGATTATGGTGGGGCTGCATAGTGGTAAACTTTCCTAAGAACTGTGATAATTATTTTCTTTTAGCATTACTGATTTAGATTCACTAGTGTCTTTTTTTTTGGAATTATGATGCTGATAAAAATAGCGTATTTTCTGTTAATGAAATGGTACTTAATATTTGTGATTTTCTTTATTTGAAACTGTGATCTCTAAAAATAGAAATTTATAGAAATTCAAATATAAGTTGCCATGGTAACCTCTTTGGGGATAGTGCACGCACAAGATTATTCTAGCAAGACCATCCAGTGATGTTATATAAATAGTGGAACTAGTTTGTTGACAAGAAGGTTTAGTTTAGTCGAGATTCTAAAAAAATTCAACTTTTAGTGCGTGCAGTTTGGTAGTCAGATAGCGACATCTACTAAACATGGGGTTTGTAAATATGAAATACAATCCATGTATATATGATTGCTTTGAAACCTGCAACATTTCCCTTTGTTTCCCAAGTTTAGGAGTTAGGTCTGAATGTTATTTCTGTCTTCATATTATCGTTTTGGATTTCACAGACCGTGAAATGAAATTAGAGTGCAGCCGTACTCCTTTCACTCCACGCGTAATGGAACGATCATTCACAAAAGGCTGTTTGACACAATGCTGTTAATGTAGATGTGGAAATCTAGTGGCATAAGGTGCTCTCACAGGAGGAGGAGTGCTGGGTGACTGAATCTTTGTGTGTTGGTTTAAACCTGTCTGAAACAGACACCTTATCTGATTAAAACCTGTGCACTGTTTTGTTGGTTAATATCTGTAAGTGATTTTGGTGTCCAGTGGCTCCTAAGTGCCAGGCACTTGTTTGCTTTAGTAAAGTGCAAAGAAGCATCTAAGTAGTTTGTAAGAAAGCACAAGAGGCAATATTAAGTGCTGAGTTCAAAAAGTGTCTGCAGGTGTCCAGCGGGGACTGGAATGCCAGTGCTCATCTCAGATACCATATTTCAAAGTAATTACCTCTAAAGCCTTTTTACTTTTGAATAATAGTTGTAAAATGATGCTGTTTAAAGATGTAATTAGTATTTGTCATTGATTTTTCCTAAGAATTATGGATTACTCCTGTACTGGGTGCAGGAATGCAAAAATGGCCCTGAAATTCACCAGGTCCATAGCTATATATCCTTAATGTTTTGGGGAGACAGTGAATCTCTTTGTGGATAAGGGGCCAGTGCGGTGGTTAACCAGTGCGGGAGTCAGCATGGCCCAGGGCACTTGAGCTGTTTGCAGCAGCTGAAGGCAGCTTACACAGCCCCTTTGATATGGTTTTTATCTCTAGGAAAGATCATCATTACTTGGTTTACAAGGAAGTACAAATCCTAATTAGCAAGTATTTGTCAAGTTTGCTGTAAGTAAATATTCACTGCAATGCAAATAAACCCACAATAGCCTTGCAGTCTAGGCATCAAGATATATCTTGAAAGTGTTCTTAAAGATATGATGCTGCTTCATAGTGACATGGGGAGCTGTATTTGAGCAGTGGGTGGTATTTTTGGAGGGAAAAAATACCACCCCCCTCTACTGCTTTATATGATATTTAGTTGTCAGAGATTCCTTTCAGTGACCCATTGCATCTACACCAGCTTTGGACATTGGGTGAGGTGAAGAATCAGCTGAAAGGAGTGGAGTGGGAGAGGGGAAAAATATGGTTTTATAGATTCCCTCGAGGCTAAAGATACAGAAATTATGTTGGAGAACATTCTTAACAAAGATAACTTAGATCATTGTGTGGTGACTTGCTTATGTTTTCTCCAGGTACCTAGATACCTGTTTTGATACCTGTCAAGAAAGCCTTGATTTAGGAAGCCTGTCATGTACTATGGTGAATTATTGAAGTGAGTTATATTTTTAGGGTTTTGCCTGTTCTGATGAAAGACAGGTTTTATTTTTGGTGGAAATAATACTGCTGCATCAGTCTAAAATACTGTGAATGGAGTGGTGGAGGTACATTGATCTCAGAATATATGTTTGTAGATTAATAGTGAATAGCAAAGGTCAGCTATCTTAACTGATAGGAAGCCCTTTAATACATAAATGGAAATCTTTACTTTGTCTTTTATTCAATGAGGAAAGCAGGTATATTTTAGATTTTACCATTCAATTATTAGTTAGGCAGACATCTGTCTAATAATGGCTCAAGAGAAATAGTTAAGGTTGACACTTCAAAGAGTGTATTCCTTTTGTTGGTAATGAAAACACTGGATTTATTTACATGTGAGAAAATATTCAATTACATTAAATTAGTGAGAAGCAGTCATTCTGCTTGAAGCATTTATGCTATGGGAGCTGTATTTTTTAAAGACACATCTAGATATGTTCCTAATGACAAAAATCATACTGCATTAGTGTTACAGATTTTCATACACTCTGTAGCTTCACACATACATGGGCTGCCCAAATCACATTGTAAGTAATTTTTATTCATTTACTTCTGGCATACTGGCCTTTAAAATTTTGACTGGAAATTTTAGCTTAATACATGATGTATAATCAACTAGCTTGATCTGCCGTAAGTGTAAATGGTTTCTGATGGTACTGACATCAGAGAGGTAAAATCAGCAAGATTTCTGCCTTCCTAACTTCTGCCTCTTCCTCTACAGCTGTTCTGCCTGATGCTGCTAGTGTTTCCATGGAAACAAGCCAGCTCTTTGCTTCCTCTTCCCATTG